TGAAATATATATATTTGGAGGGCATGTGCATAGTAGTAACATGTATGTTGTGAAATTGGGTATATACATCTGTAAAGTAACTGTCTGAGTTTGACAAAGCCAACCACAAGACACACACAGTATATGGAAAGAGACATTAGCAGGTATAAACAGAATAAAGCACATTTATAACATTGTTATCTATAATTACCACATAAATTAGATGTGAAAATCATTATTAAACAACGCTTTCAAAGACAAATGATAGACAAAACACTCTAAAACGTCATAAAAAAAGCTCTGTGAAAAGTAGGGTAATAACCAGTGTTCACATACCTCCAAGGTAGTGGAGAGACATTAGATCTCTTCACACAATAGAGATGTGGTCATTACAATATATGCTGTCACTAGGTCTATTGAACACTATTCCCAGTGGACAAAGCAAGTGCTTGTTGAAAAAAAAACAATTCTGAACTGATAGCCTGTGACTATACCATTTCGTGCAGACCAGACAATGACCAATACACAGATTAGGAGGACTGCAATTTTCTCACTAAATGCATGTGACTTCTCAACACAAACACATGGAAATGACAGCTATAGCTATAGAGGGACTGTGGCTTTACATAGCACTGATCACAAATAATATACGTACATGCAGTTCCATTAAAAATACCTTTACGTGCAAATATGTAATTTGTATGAACAACAATTGATACTAAATCAATACAACTAGCGTACATGCTAGCAGGATTGATTTTCAGTGCAGTTTGAACACTGTCTGCATTTGTAATTTTGTTTATAAAACTTTTGTCTTTTTTTTCTGGATAAAACTGAGACCCAGATGTACATTGTATACAAACTATGTATATATACAAGATCCAATAATTTATTCTGAAATGCAAATGTAAAATTTATGATAGATAATTGTAACTATACACTAACAACATACTTTAATTCCTCTGAGAGAATTTTTTGGCAAATTTGGGAGAATACTAAACAGTTGTAGCTGATTTTGTGAAGCATGGCCTCCATGTGTACAAAGCTGACAACAATAATATGCTAAATATTTACAATCCATGCTTTACAAATTAGTAATTCAACAACATAACTGGTATTTATAATTAACTGACAAATATTAAATTGAATTTGATTAGCCATTTTATCAACTACAACAATTTATTTGATTATTCACTGATTACCATTTTAATTAGATACTCACTAATTCATCCTTTCTAAGCTGTGTTCAAGCCTTCTCATATGTATAATAATGCAAATAGATTATTTCCTATCATCAAATATAAAAAGGTATCATAATTACAGCAGAAAATCTGTTAGATGATACCTACTAGGCTACATAGCATAAACTACATGTACAATTTTGTACAATTGTGAATGTGAAAATCTTGGTGGGTAAACCCTGAAGGTACATTTTAATAAGTAAACTTATTGACTTAAGCTTATAAGTTTATTCTACAAAAGTCTTTTTCAATTATTACAGGAACTTAATAAGAGAATAAAATGAAAAATCAAATACCGATGTTTTTGGAAATAAAAATTTTCAGAGCAAATTTATGGCTTTAATATTTTCATTTGTTTGAGTTGTTTCATTCTTGATAGCTTGTAAATTCTAGACTTGTTAAATCATGAATAATTAAAATATAACAGGACTCCTACAGTTAAAAGGCCAGATGTCATCACATCACAAACTATGTAAATAAACAGTGATTTCAGTGACAGTGCATATACATAATGCAACTGAGATTTTGTAAAAAAAAGCGAGTATATCCCTGAATGTTCAGCACTTGGTAGTGGTATTTTCAAAACAATAATTACATTCAACCATGAAAAATACCACAGTCCAATTATGTTGTGAGGTGAATACCAAATAGTCTGAGTGAATACTTTGCATTCCCACCGTGTATTACTTGTATATGCACCATGAAAAATGATAAAATCAGTTGGCCAGACAAATCCTGCAATATTGGAGCACTGACACTACTAGTCTGCACTGAAGCTTGTGGTAATCTCTTAATCAAACATAATTCTTATTATTATAATCACTCAAGGCCACTTTACTATAATTATTAAAGAATGTTTTTCTAAATTCAATTTCAGGATCATGTTGGATAAGATTTGTCATGAACTGTGCACAACTCGAACCCCCATGATGCTTACAGGGATCAGTGAGAGGTTTTATACAGATCATACAAAGTGGGGACGCAACTTTAATAATAACTGCTGCCTGACTAAATGACATTCATTTCATATAATTTAGACATAAGTATTATTCTTGGCTGTGGCCTTATGTCTTGTATTCAACTGCACTGTGGAAATATATGGGGAATTCACACTATTGGGAATACTGCATTCTGAAATGATACCATTAGAATATCTCCACTAAAATTCTATTGTTCATTTGTTTGATGTACAATACCTGCAGCTGTCCTTAACCAAGACTAGTACTATCAAAAGCTAAGGGTATTTATAAATCAACATCAGGTCAATCTGTATTTTAGTGGAGCTAACTTAATTTCAGTCTCAAATGCCTTGAACAGGGTGTGGTGTGAAAACAGACTCTCTAACAAGTTATTGTACAGGCAAAAATATGTATGTTAATAAAGCACTCCCTGAATCAAAATGTGGGAATGCATGACACATTAAAATATTTAGCTACGCCTTTTTTCGAGTGAAAACAATAATTTCAATTCTAACTATTTAATTCAACATAGTGACCGTTTAAGAATAACTTCGCGGTTCACCTGCCTGGTCTACAGTCCTGTGCTCAGTCGCTGGCCAAAATTTCGATTCAAAACAATAACAACATATTTATAAGAACGGAAGTAATATATTAACGATGGGATTGACGAAATAACAGCGTCCATACATACACACTGACCGTGACGATAAATTCGGTGCGTCACGGGGTTAGTGTACCACTACCGGCACCAGCGTGGATGAACGGCGTTAGGACATGTCTTGTCAAGTCGGCGGCAGTGACAATATTCAAACCATTGGAAAAATACAGAATTCGGCAAATACTTGCTAAATTATACGTAACGACAATGTTAGCTCAGCTGTCTGGGGCTATACGGTACTGTTACATCAAGGAATTAACAAAAATGTTTAATTGTGAAAGTGAATACCCAAAAAGTTTTTAAAGCGAGTGTATAAACAAAAAGCCAAGCTAAGGATAGCAGATTTCTTACTCGCCAGATTCTGTCTCCCATCTTCGGTCGGCGTCACCTTGGCCAACAATAATTCTTGGACGTGGTGGGTAATCCGTTTCCGAATCGGAACTACTGTAGTCGTTGTAGTAACGATGACCCTGCAGTTGATGTGTCATTTCCAACGGATATCAGACATATCGTACGAACAGAAGGACGTCAACTTGCTACTTGACAACATCCACCATTTTGTTTACATCCGGGTATTCGGACGCCAGTTTTATGCTAATGAGCTCACCTGTCGATTGTCTCGCCTCGATGCAAGTTCATAGGTCAGGCTTAGAAACGGATGGTATCATTTGTGATACACAAACTTTGTCCGATTTTAACAGTTCTAGATCAAATGTACAACATATACGAGCCCATAATTTAGAGAACTTTTATATGTTGGTCTTTCATTTTTGTGAAAATGAAATATAGTGATGATATTTCTTATCATCGAACGGCATAAATTAAATTTCTTTTAAAGGGCGATGGTCGTCGCGCCACACATGCGTGTGATATGGGTCTCATATAAGTAATGGCGACTTCGACCAGACCAACGAGTACAAACTGAGACGTTACCAAACTTTAATTTGATATTTCTTAGGTGATTGGAAGTCACCGGCGGTAATTACTGCAAATGGCATTCAGACCAAAACTCGTAATCGCGATTTTATTAGAAAAGCGCATTGAATTGCGGGAAAGTCAATGTTTATCAACACAAATGTTGCACATGCGCGGCGCGACGACCACCGCCCTTTAATTAGGGTAATTATAATCGGAACAACCGATGTACATACCATGGGTTAAATGTCGAATTTGTCGAATGAAGTCACGCCTAATTACACATTTACCGACTAAATCAGATCACAACTGTGACGTCAGTGATAGAGTAAGTCAACGTCACAAGTGCTGTTTTTTTCACGACTGTCACTGACCGGTTACAAGTCATAATAGCGGCGTGCATAGACACGTTTGCCTCAAATCTGACAAAAATAAACATAAATAAAATGGAAAAACATTAATTACAATGTTTATTTGTTTCTGGATAATTCCTCTTAACTTAAGCTGAATATGTATATTATTTTATAAGCACTATATTTTTAAAAATTATTATTGTTATTAATAATATTACGTACATCATATTTTGCATTATTGTAATTATCGCCATATACCCTGTGGGTTCTCTCGATCATTACCAACACTTATGATAAAAATGCCAATAAATTGAATAAATAATAAAACATAATAATATATATAAAAAATAAATTATAAGATACATGTTAGAAAAAAATAAATAAAAAAGCCAAAGATCTTATTGCAATTATTGCTTGATACCGTAATCAGAATGTTCATATCCGATATTAAGCGATATTACCCGATATCAAGCGATATTACCCGATATCAAGCGATATTACCCGATATCAAGCGATATTACCAGATATCAAGCGACATTACCAGATATCAAGCGATATTACCAGATATCAAGCGATATTACCAGATATCAAACAATATTACCAGATATCAAGCGATACTACCAGATATCAAGCGATATTACCCGATATCAAGCGATATTACCCGATATCAAGCGATATTACCAGATAGCAAGCGATACTACCAGATATCAAGCGATATTACCCGATATCAAGCGATATTACTCGAATTTAAATATTTTTAAGTGAAGACTCGAGTAGTGATACATACTTTGTCATTCCACCGGTGACCCTCATTGAAAACGAATACACGTTACCCTATTCATATTTTATTCTTCACTTGGTCCGGTGAACGGACCTATTACTGTTGTGATGTACAAATACTGACACGTCGAAGACGAGTTGGGGTCAGCATGGTTGCTTAAATGTTTTGAAAAGATTGTCGCATGATGGCGCCTTGGGGAAAAAACCCGTAAATCTCTGGTCAACATAGCAAACGACCTCGGACGCTATAAAAGATACACGTGCTTAGTATATATAACTTGGAAGGCGCCGTATATGTCAGCGAGCAAATGACACGATTATGCTTTTTTACTTGGTCAGATTTGACTGTCATATCGTCAAATAAAATCACCGGAACAAACCCCCAAATATTTCGTACATGCGGCGCCACGTTACGAACTTGAACTTGAAGTTCCATGCTGCCAGAGACTGCAACATTCTTAACCGATGGAAAATGACTTCGCTGTTGTTCACCTATAGAAATACTAAAATTGTATTCTATGTTTTCGACCTTTTTCACACGGATAGCAAGTTTAATTCAAATGCATTACTTTACTCGCACACGGCCGCCTTGGAAGATTCGCCGTGTGTCGTCACCATTCTGGCGTGACGGCGTCATCTCAAGTGTAGTAGTTTAATCGCAGTACCAAGACATTTCAAGCACTATGAGTAGTACTACTCGTATATTGCACAAAACGTCTGGTTATTTTGAATATTTACTATGTACTAGTACTTTATTTGCCGAGTTGTTACAGCGTATGAACAGCGCCATCACCAACTAGCTGCTTACTAAACTTTTTTTTCCTTGCTGATCAAATACAAGCTCGATTTGACATAGCGCCCTCTATACCCGTTTTCGTTTCTGTAAACAGTGCAACAACACTGACAATAAACAACCAAAATACGCCTTGTTTATTTACTGAGTATGATAATCTATTTTTTCCTGGCTTAAAAAAATAACGTTATTTCATTAATATTTTTTTGTGCCAAATTGAGCGCGGCACTATTAGCAACTCGAAGCTCTGGCGTATTAGAATCATGGAGAAAGTGGCCGTAACATGCGTCCTCTACAGTACCTTCAGAATATACACTACTTCAGATGTGAAAACTGAGTCACATATGACACGTAAAATGTCATTTTCAAAGCATTAATATTGTATTTTGTGTGTATGTGTGTGATCATTGCTTGGAAAACGGTACTTATATTTTTCGGAATAAACAAAATCTACCAACACATAAATAGTAGCGAAAATTTGATAAAAAAAAAAAAAAAACCCAAAAAACAACGGATAGCCATGAGCAATTTCAATACCGGTGAATGTTGAGTGCTATGGTTCTTAACCCAATAAAGGTTTCCAATAACTCATAAAAATCGCTAAAACATATCATTTTACCCGGTTTCTCCGCGGCCAACAGTTGTTGGGCCAATTTACGTGATAATTGAAACCCCTGAGTCAAAACCGAAACGCTTTTACCACTCGCCGTGACCGTACCGCAAAGATGGCCGCATACCTAGACCCGTATAGCAATGAGTTTCAACACCCCAAGGGGTTTCGCATGCAAGTGGATAAGCATAGAAGTTCATTGAAGTGATTCTGATTTGTGTAAATTGCATTCTGTAAGGCAAAGTTAACCTTTTGTCTAGGTTAATGAAAATAGGGGAAATTCAACCTCCTTCGCCATTGTTCGACTTATTTCTCAAGAGAGTGTGTAACACAAAAATGGTAACCTCCGAATTAAGTATTGTCCCGGACAGCGGAAATACTCTGCACTCACGAGGAAAACCAATGTTTACGTGGGAACAGCTTGCTTTCATTTTGCCCACACGTGTACCTGAGACAATAGCGTCTCACGATGGCGACGATAGAGGTGATATTATATTATATCGAGCTACGTTTACTATTTTTCAATTCCGAGGCTTGTTCCCTACATGTGAAATATTCACAATAAATGCATCACGAAATGCAACGTTCTCATTTGATACAAAGGCCAATTCATATAATCCTGCATTACATCGTTCAGATAAACACTATCACAATCCAGACGTAGGATAATTATAGGTATGGATAATCGCCATAATAAATCATTACATTGATAGTATCGGGAAGGAATGAGCTAGAAGAGGTCAGATAATTCAAATGTCATTTCAGTCAAATGGACCATTGTACTCGTACCACCATGTTCACTAATCAAAGCAAACGGACACTTTAACCCCCGTTATTCATAGTAGGACGCCCATTTACCATCCAACGGTAGCTTCAAAAATAACATCGTTAGCGTCCGACGATGTATACTTTAATTTGATATAATTAATAGAACAATCCCTGATACTCTACTAATATCGTAATAATAATAATAATAATAATAATAATAATAATAATAATAATAATAATAATAATAATAATAATAATAATAATAATAAGTTTGTTCCTTCTTTTTTAACGGCACAATTTCACAAGGATAAGATAAATCGCATCTTTCCTTTATGGACGTTGGCATAATGACTTTGTGACCGCGTTTCGTCTTCACCACGACCGTACAGAGAGCCGAGCTGAGTGAATAACAGCGTAGGGATACAGATCAAAGAGCGATACCGACATCAACCATGTAATATTTCAGTTCAACATCTTTCCACTTGCTCATATAAATAAATAACTTGAAAAGGCAAATATACTAGAGTGACGTCAGTGAATACTCAAAATTGACCACTTGTTTGGTACAATCCCTGAATTTGATAAATTGAGTTTGTAAACAAGACAAAACGTTTGTTATCATTCCCCGTAAATGTCAATTTTAATTGCCAAATCCTCGATGTATACAAAGAGGGGGGGGGGGCATTTGACAGAGGTGCCTCATATAATAAAGAAAGTAACCTACAGAATGAACGTTTAAATGAGTTCTTTCATTCTACCCAAACCGCCACTGTATGCATTTTATCTGTTGGAGAAATCGCAGCCGTTTTACCTTGAATACAGCCTATACTGGGTAATTATTCGATTCATTCAGCGACACAAAGCCCTTAAAGGCTTTAGAATCTCTGTTAAATTAAGCGAACTAACAACCTTCTTCCGCTATCTTGCCTCTGCTAGAATAACCGTTGGGAATAACTCTAACGCATTGTAATCATACATTTTAGGTTTCTAAACTCATGCCATAAAACGGCAAATTTTAAAAATATACATAAGTAAATATACATAAGTAAAATTAAAAACATGCCCATTCATGCTCTTACCTTGTGTCTCTTGATTTCAAGCGAGACGCGTAAACTTAGTGTAGACGTACAATTATGTATTTTGTTAAACCACACATCTGGCTTATATGAGACCGAAATGTGACAGTTGGACCGATTGTCAGTCAAAATAACGTTCTACGTGCCACCGTCAATTGACTTCGTCGTAACATTTATTACAGCCATGCACAGTCCCTCTATCAGTCTATAGAGGGATTGTGAGCCATGTATGTGAGGTGCACGCCACGAAGAA